TTCAGCCAAATCGGGATGGCCCGGTCATGGGTGGTAAGAACTTTAGAGGGTTCTATCTCGAGAACGGTAAAGATGCCCACCCTAGGGACCATGATATTCGGAATCAGCGTGCTGAGAAGGCTCTGTGAGCAAATTTTCAGCCAAATCGGGATGGCCCGGTCATGGGTGGTAAGAACTTTAGAGGTTTCTATCTCGAGAACGGTAAAGATTCCCACCCTAGAGACCATGATTTTCGGAATCAGCGTGCTGAGAAGGCTCTGTGAGCAAATTTTCAGCCAAATCGGGATGGCCCGGTCATGGGTGGTAAGAACTTTAGAGGGTTCTATCTCGAGAACGGCAAAGATTCCCACCCTAGAGACCATGCTTTTCGGAATCAGCGTGCTGAGAAGGCTCTGTGAGCAAATTTTCAGCTAAATCGGGATGGCCCGTTTCTCGCTGCTGGACTCGCTGCTCGCTGCTCGCTGCTATAGTTTGACAGACGTCTTGCCCCGCGAGAATTTCCTTAGTTTCTGAAGAATTTTTCGGGACCCATGCTCTACTCATACTGGATTCGAATATACGCCTACGGGAGTGGTCCGTCGTCGTGACATCCACTGCAGTCACCCGCGGTCCCCAGAGGCCCGTCCTGTCGTGGAGTGGGTCTGAGTGCCGCTGCGAGTGGCCTAACGTCATCATTGCATGCCTCATTACGTCATCACTGAGTACCCGGGTCGATTGTTTCAATGGGGGGAACATGACGGTCGACTCGTAAAAATTCGTTGTCGCAAAGCAACGACAGTCAGTCGAAGGATGAACGCCTACGCCGTGTGTTTTGTAGACCCACTTGCATTCTTGTAGTATTGTAAACCCAGTTGCTTACTGAGGAATATCAGCGTATTGATATTCCCTTATTCCCGTAAAGGTATCGATCTTGCGCTACTTTATCTCACGGCCGACCTGCGATGGAGTGTGTCCGCCTGCAGAACAGTAGTGTTTTCTCATCACAACGCCAGCCTTGTCGGCCATTCATCTTATCTGAGTAATTTGGTCGGCGGACATCATTCAGCACACGGACGCAAGACCAGTGGTTCCTTTTGACGTAAATGTCTCCCATGGCAGCCACCGCTCTTCCGCAGAGCCGCTCACTGCATTCATTCACAGAGCTATCCGCACCGCTTCCCAGTTACGAGTTTCGCGAAATGCCGCACATTTGATCATCTCGGCGGTCGTTCATCTGCGAGGTTTCCGTTTCCTCTTCCGTCCGCTGCCGTTCCTGCAGGGGCGGCTTGCTACCGTTTGCAGGAGTAGCTCGCTGTCGTTGACAGGGTCTGTCTTTTGTCTCTCTAGTTTCTCCAGCGGTGTGGCGATTGTGCGCGACGGGCGCGCCCGCAGCCGAGCCGGAACCCGACGAAAGTTGTCCGAACTCAGGCGGAAAGTTACCGACTGACCTGACCACGCCGTGAGTGGCTCTCGGATCGGTTCGGAGCGCTCGTTTTGGCTCGATTGACGGTCTGATGGCGGACTGAGGTGGCTGGGTCACCCGTGTCGGATAAATGGCCATCGATCCGCGGCGGCGTGGCTGGACGTACGACTACGCCACTTTCTGCGGGTAATCCAACGGAATATGTATGTGGAGCACTCAAAGTGATTGATGGACCGAAATTCATAACACTCAGAAAGACACTATTTCTGCACGCTGGTATCGATAATAAATTGAGCAGAGTACGCGTATTTTAATGTGTAAGAGGCTTTTATGGCGGGAGCTTGGCAAAGCGGGAAGCCTTATTTTGACAGCTAATCCGCAACTAAGACAATCAATCTTGGTACGTACCGATAATGCCGATTAGTTGACCGTCGTGTCATTTGTCATTGGAGACTAGACATCTACACTATATCATAACCGGTGCCGCCCAGAAAATCATAAGATGGGGCTGCCCGTTGTATCAAATATCGATAAAAGAACCTCAACGATTATCTAACTACGGTGTGCTCTTCAGGAACAATCCATCGTCATCAGTTGTCTTGTGAATTGAGCAATTGAATAGCAAGCTGTCATGATACAACTGTAAACCGATCACGCACTGGAAAAAGCTTATAACTATAGCGCATATTGCAAACGAGAATTAGGCACAAGTCACGAGTTCATGTTTCTAAAATACGGATATGTATATTATTTGATATCTACGTTGGCCCATGACGCAGTCATACCGCTGCCGTGGATCAATACACGTGTTCATCTTCGTGCCAGTGACATTTTCTCTAGGGATTCACCTCCAGTCTGTGGCCCCGCTCCAGATGTGCAGACGTCGTCTGGTAGGCGGGAGCTGGATCCGGGATCGTTCCTCTGTGGGGGAGGGGGCGGATGGCGAGGGGTAGGTGGAGGCCGGAGGGGTATGGGCTGGGTGTTCCTTCTTTCTGGAGCTACAAATCACACTATTTTTTTATAGTGGGATTTGTATGACACGTTTTGAAGCTGTTCAATTTACGAAGCCAGGGACGACTTTGATTTCAGTTTATATTATGTGAGATTTTGTGTGCTTAGATCATTTATGTATGCAAGCGCATTGCGCAAACACAACTATTGAATTCAGATTAACATCTAAATAATAAATTATACATTTTTCATGAGGAATTCCATTCATTGCATTGCGAATTCAATTCGAGCCCCAGCCCTCATTTCAACCTTGAGTTCAATAATCATCTTTTTACTTTTTAGTGGGTCAATAAAATATTTGGTAAAAAATGGGCAGAAAGGTGCGCCAAGTCCTACCTGACCCACCTGAGACTGAGATGTGTTCGTTGGGCTGACGTGTGTTGAATTTTATAGGTGTGACAGAGCTCTTTCCTTACCATCCTTCATTTAGCCTGCAACAACGTCCGCTTGTGCTTTCAGCTTTCAACATCAATAAACTGCTGTAAACTTTTGGGACTTTATGGCGGCGGGCCTGTCACGCTGTGTATGTGCGCGTTTGTCCCCAGAGTCAACAGATATTTCGGAAAGATCGGCGCATCTGGGGCCGATACTAGCGAGCAGGTGCTTTGAATTGGTACTCCTGAGCCACACCACATATTATGCAATCTTCGAAGATGACTATTCTTATTTCTCAAAAATTACCTTCTATATTACCGTTATGCAATCTACGAATCTTTCGAAGATTCGGTGAAGCAGACGGTATTTCCTCAGCACTACATTTGTTCTTTTATACCTGTCTTTCTGTAGCACAAAATGCACAACGTGAGTAAAAACATGTTTTGCCGCTGTTAAAAAGCGCAGTCTTATGTTCAAAGCCATAATCGTAAGTAATAACGCTCTGGAAAAATATATGCATTGAAATAAAACACATATACCTAAACTAAAAAATGATATAAAGCTCAGAGACATCTCATCCCCATGCCTGTTAACTGGAAGATTCACACCATACGTGTGCGTGGTGGGATTCGTGCTGAACCGCTTTTGTATAAATGATGACCCAGGCATACACTGTGAGTTGTGACATAAGTGGCAATGACAGCGGCCCTGCGAGTGGTTCTAATTTCGTCCCATGCCCAGTGCCGTTTCTACGAGACTGTCCCGATCGGTTACGCTTGTGTAAGGTAAAGGGCAAAGGCCAATCTTGGAGACGGCTACCGAGCTTAGATGTCCTTATAAAATGATATAGGACCGTGGCATTTCGGTCGATGGAGTCGATTATTTGCCGATTTCGAATGGTTTATTTGAATGGCATACCATAGTTATGGCATTGGATTTGTGAAAATTGCGTTTGAAATATAAGAAATTGAAGCAAAAGAGGAATGTAAAATAGCACGCATACGCATATGCGATGCATGTGTGCCATTCCAATAAACACGTTTCTTGGCAAGCACTCCTTATTGCATGCTTTGAGGACATATCATTTTATCTCTTCATACACGAGGCTTAACTTCTTTGATCACGCGTAAATAATTTCACTTGACCACTTCAAAGGTTGTCTCCTCTCAAATACGAGCCAACTTCAACTAATAGGCAGACCGCATATTTGATATAATAGCAGACATGTGCATGGATCCGAGAAAATGGATCTGAGATCTGATCCCACGGATCCTGATCTCGGATTCTACGGGATCATAGATCAAGCTCTGTAATTTATCGAAAGATCCGTAGGGGTCACAGATCCGAGTCTCATTTTTTGCTTGAGATCCAGTGAGATCATAGATCCTCACTTATTTTTTGTCAACACATATATCCCAAAAAAGCACTTGGTTCAACTCACAAAAGTTCTGTTTTAGTGATTTTATGTGATCGCACGTCATAATCTATAGTTTTGTTTCACTTATTGGCAAAGAAACCCTTTAAAACATGGTTTCAAATGTGGTGCATGGTGGGATCCACTCAGATCATAGATCCATGTTCTTAATTTATCGTCAGATCATATGAGATCATAGATCCAGGATGAATTTTTCACGCCGGATCCGGTGGGATCATAGATCCCAACCTGTACTTTGCTTCGAGATCCACTGAGATTATAGATCCATCACTCGGATCCATGCACATGTCTGTATAATAGCATGCTGGAATAACTACGTCTGTCAACTATGCATAACACATTACAGCACTTCAACTTGAGAGCTCAGATCGAAGCTCATCTCAATAATCGCAATAACCGCAATAATTGATATGATATTCATTTAGCACTACTTTATTGTAAATGAAAAGCAGCTCTTCATATTTGTTGATTGAACCGTCCGCCCACCCTTGTCACCCTAAATTCCAGACTGCTCCCTCAATAACTTTTATTTAGCCATTCTGCCCGTCAGCCGCCCTACCTCCCCAGTTCCTCTCAGCCGCCTTGACCCCCTCAGCTACTGGAACTTAGAGCCATGCTGCCCCTCATCCGCAGTCCACTTCGGCCTTAGATTGTACCCTCAGTGACTGCTGGTTATGCTGCCTCCCCTCCGACATGACTTTCGACTGTACCGGGTGTACCCTCAGGACTACTTTTATGCCATCTCGTCCGCCCTAACTGTCATCTCTTCCTTTGCAGGTCTGGTGTCGGGCAGAGATGGACGATGTGGCCACGCCTACATGAACCTGCCCTCGCCCAATGTCCAGAGTGAGGTAAGCACATCGGCTGTCTTTTAATGCTGAAATAAGAAGAAAACTAACCTAGTGCACATTGTTTGCATGTCATAAAATAGCAAACTAATTATCTAAATCTGCGAAAATAGAATATGCAAAATGATAGACACCGTTAATGATTTTGGATCATTGTGAACTTCCGCCTACACTATACTCGTAGTTAAAAGATAGCCCACCCATGAATCCCAATTCATAGCTGTGTGCCATTCAAAATTCCAGGTCCCGACAGTTGTTTAACACAAAAAAGTGGGATCCTAGATTCCAGAGCATCATAGGTTTATCTGTTGGTGCAATGAACGGTGTAGTAGGTAGTGCATTATACAACGAGCGCGTTCAAACAGTAGCCGATCCTATGTTCGGCTGACGGAGCTACGCCATCTGCAAAGCTCCGAATTCGGCACTCAATTTATGATAATGGGAATTGGGATGCTCTTGACCAACTGTAGGTGGGTACTAATATAATCACTTCACCGCTGAGATAACTACAAATTCAGCATATTCATTACTGAAACATTAATTATGCGCCAGAATCCTCTCAGCTTAACGAAACTCTCCACAACTCGTAAGCACTAAGCTGGTCAGCGGCGTCAGCCTACCCCCGTCCGAGCACGCGCGGACGCACGACCTGCGGACGCGTCCCGTCGGTCGCGACGCGACGCGTCGTCCGTCGCCCCCGTCGGCGCCGTCGGACATCGTACGAGCGGCCGCTGTCCGTCGGAGAACAAACAGACTGTGCCGACTGGACAAACACCAGTCGGGCGAACGGATTGCCACCGCGGCACACTGTGCTGGGCGCTGGCCTGCAGTGACGGGCCGCGAGCAGACCTTACGAGGGAGCAATGAGGAAAGAGAAAACGCACAAAAAATGGTTCATTGTAGCGAAAAGCGGATTGCTGGATAATTTGGTTAGGGTTAAGTACCTACGTGGAAAAGTAACGTTTGTTTTGATCATTTTGATAAGAGAAATTTGTTCATCATTGAGATAAATATAGCTCCCCAGTCCTGACTTCTCTCCTATTTATTCTTCTTTTCCTTCCCTCTGTGTCGGCATAGTCGCCGGTAAATCTCCACTATTCACGTGATACATGGCCCAGCTATCAATGTTGGATAGGGTGGGCCGGAGCCGGACATGTGATCAGCGGTAGTGGGACGGACTGACGGATGGGATTAGAGTCTCCGTGGCCGCGGGCGCCCGGATCTGTCGCGGGGGCCCTGGCGGAAGTGATTGAGCGGCCGCTATTTGTTCAGACGTGCTCCGTTCGGCTTCTGAGGATAGGGGATGTTTGCACTCGCCGTCCCCGAGCTGAGCTGTAGATTATAAACGCCGGGAGAAAGACACGATGAGGCGAGTAAGATCACAAGTCATAGCATGGCTAGAGCTTTGTAATGAGGCGAATTTATATGTGTAATGAGTAATGACTAACGTAATCAGCGTGTGAATGATTGGTACAGGCGCGATCGATTTGTGTCTTAGATATATTTGTTGAATGCCTCAAGCTGCGCGCCACGGCATCCACATTAGGTGAAAGGAATAGAGCCAGGTGGGGAGGGTCCGTTGCGGACTGAATCTTCGCTCGACGTTTGCTCCTGACGAGTTTGGCTTTTGGCCATCGGCACTGGTAAAGACAAGCTCTGGCCAATTGAAGTAGGTGATCAAAGTGGATCGTAACTGTTTGTAACTCTAACATGCGTCTCTAAATTTTGACATCGTCCTGAAAGTTTTCAATTATAGAATGGCGAATGCTAACATACTCGTAGCAGTAGTTTTCACTTGCCAACAACTTGTCACTTGTCAAGCATAAGTGATAAGCTGCGTCCTTCTTCAGTATTTCTCATCCATGCCTGTGCCCTGATTTTGTTCATTTTCCCTCGTAAAGAATTTACAGTACACCAAATTGTAATAGATACCATGGACGAAATACAAATATACGCCTCTTCGTCGTCTCGCGACATTTCCGTCATTGCACTGCACGGCCAGCCAACGAGTTCGAGCGTATAGCTCCTCAGTCCTCACTCGACGGTGCCATCATCTATCTGAACACGAGAAATACATTTGGAGAACATTGCGACTGCCACCGCCAAGGCAAACACCGACGTCGGGCTGTCGGAAGGCACTGGCCGTCACCGACACGGAGTTCAGGGGACAGACCTGTTGAACGCTGGGCGATGGCAGCGATCGATGCGGGAGACGGTAGCTTGTTTGGAAAACGCCGCCCAGAAAAGGCTCGTGCTCTGAGTACCTATAGTGGAATAGTTACCGACGCTTGCTACTTATATGCACTGCGTATGGACTCACAACTCTAGAAAGTGATGATATCGGCTGCTTTGACATATAACAATGAATAAAAATAATAATTCTAACAACTTGCATATCCGTCCGGATTCAACTTCTAATGCCGAAACTGCGTGCACGCTGCGCATATTTGTGCTGCTGACAGAAAAGTTTCGTCGCCTGTGCCTAAGTTGCACCACTGTGTTGCAAACTCCGAAGTTTTGTCGTTACTCAGCTGTATTGTGGAACATGTTTGGCGTTGGTGACTCTAGCGTCTGTTGGAAGCATTTTTTACATTTATACATGCTTAAATTTTTTATCATTTAGGTACGCTGGCCCTCTAGGGATTAGATAAATGATGCTGTTCACTAACTTTTGTCATTTGCGCGAAACCTCGTGAATATACACCTATCTCATTTTTTTCGCTTAGAGTCATCACAGTCCCCAGAGCAGAGGCAGGTATTGCAGGCCAAATACCCAGTCGTTTTATGAAATGCTTTCGATAAAAATATATCTTCCACTGACAACACCTCCCACACCCAGCCATATCTCAATTCGCTCCAATCTCTGGTCCTGAAACACGTGGCGTCGGCATGACCTTGACCTTCATCTAGCCGCACATTGTGGCTCGGACGTGTGACCTTGACCTTTGTGCGACCCTGCAGGATGGCTCGGACGTGTTTCCGGCAGAGAGCCGGTGCCTGGGTATCACTGAGGAAGAGCCGGGACCCCAAGAGGCGCCGCCCGCCTCCGCCATGGGGCGGCGCAGCGCGCTCGTGCCGCCAAAACTGATCCCCACCGACGCAGAGAACGACGACGACAAAAATCGCAAACTCTCCGAAGGGTGAGTGGATGCTATATGGCACATGCGTTAGGGTTTTAGAGGGAGAGACGAACATGAAGGTGCTGTAGTTGGTAGGTATGTGTATCATGTAATGTAAATGTTTTAAATTTTGGGATAGCTGCTGAGCTTTCTTTTCCTGCACTGGTGAGTATTATAATAAAGCTCTTCTAAGACACATTTCTTAGTGAAAATATCAGGTATTGGTGGACACTGGACATGAACAAACGTGACTTATACTTGACTGTGATAAATATAAACAGCAATATAATAGTTCTTCTAAAAACAGACGACATAGTCTGGGTGCCTGCCGGACGGCCTGGCAAATCGCAATTGCTTTTGCGACGATGAACAATCAGCTGTTCTGGAAAGTGGTGATACCAATCAGACATTGTGATTGATGCAGCCTCCAGCCATACGTGAAAGGGTGGGACTGGCGAGATATTGTGCAGACATACCACTCGTTGTAATCTGGGCTGAGGAAACGTTAAGGTCATATGCGCTCATTTGCGCGAGGTTTACTTTATACGGCATATCCAAAGTCATTGTGACCTTTTCAGAGGCGACCTTGTGCTGACCTCGCGTGACCTTGTGCTGACCTGTGTGCCCAGTGCCCAGTGTGCACATATGACCTTATGGTGACCCTGTGTGACCTGTTCAGTTGTGACCTTGTGGTGACCTTGTACTGACCGGACCTTTGATGACCTTATGCTGACCTCGTTTGACACGCACAGGTCGTCGGAGAACGGTACTGCGAGGAACCGTCGCAGCTCGATGGTGGTGATCCCGCCCATGCAGATCTGCCCCGGTGACCTCCTCGTCTACAGCAAGGTCCTCACGCAGCGCAGCAATCTCATAGGTGAGTGCCAGCTGGGAGGGACAGTTTTTACGTGAGCGATACAAAATGGATTGCAATAGGTACCACTCCGCCTGTCCCGCTATTTCATCAGAGGAAGATTGTTAGCCTGTCGTGTCCATTCGATGCTGCGATGTGCAGGACTCATGAGAGCGGAAAAGGTGTTTGAAGAATAGGTACCGCATATTTTGCCTCAATAATAACCCCCCCCCCCGCAAAAAAAAAACTGAGAGAGACGGATAGTGTAAGAGGAGACTTATTGCACATTTATTTTTTATTTATCGCCGTATTGCGCGTTTACTTTTCTCCCTTATCTGCGGTATGCGGTAATGAAACAAGGGTGCATTCCAGAAAGGAGGAAAGGTATTAAAATCCCATGCCAGGGAAAATAATACAGGCTTGAATTTCTACGAACCTCTAATCACCTTACCGCTGCTTATGTAATCGCAAGACGCAAGCACGGGCTGAGACCCCGTAAATTGTGAGCTCGGTACGTTTCTCAGTACAGGCGTCCTCAGCGCCTGGATGGCAGTGAGCTGGGCGTTTGCCAGTTCTGCTGCTCGGGCTGACAGCTGCGACCGCCCAAAGCGCCGCCGCCGCCGCCGCCGGAGCCGCCCGCGGGTCGCAGCTCGGGCGGCCCCCTGGTTAGACGCGCCGCATGCCTGTCGCGGCTGAGAGCGCGCTGGCCGGCCCGTGAGAGGCCCGTTGTGCCCGGCCGGCCGGCGGCGGTCGGCGCTGGAAGCTCTCTGTGTACTCGGCACCAAAACACAGCCCGTCAGCGCTGTCGGCCCGGTGCGACACAGGCCGCCGAGCGCCCAAACTAAACAGGCCGCGCCGGCCCGTCACGCAGACGACACCTCGGGCGAGCAGCGGCCCCGGCCCCGGCCCCGGCCCCCGGCCCCCGGCCCCCGGCCCCGGTCCCCATCCCCGGCCCCCGGACCAGGTCCCCATGGTCTCAGACCCCGGCCCCCGCGCCCCGACCCTTGGGCCCGGCCCCCGGCCCCGGCTGAGATCGTCAGCCGGAGCCTCTTCTACGCACTTCAAAACTCTGAAGGCCCGCCCTGTTCTTGGCGTAGCTGAGCATGTTTTACCCATTGGTTATGGACAATCAAGCGTGGAGCTCAGCGTGAATGAATCTCTTGTTCACACGACAACGTGAACCTTTATGCAGGCCATGTTCATATGAACCACTTTGCCTGTTTGAGGCTTGTGTGTTCCCAACCCTACTACAGGTAAGCGGTAGCAGCTGCTTCATACTGCAATCGCTTATGTTCGCCGTTATTCCATGCGGCTGGTGCTATGGTACACTCATCGCAATAATATATAATACTGAACGAGGCCGGTGTAAATAAATTTTCAAGACCGAGGTCCTTACTGGATTTTTGAACGAGGCCGAAGGCCGAGTTCAAATGCATTTGACGAGCGACACCTACGGGGTCGTGCGGCAAAAACTTTCTCTGTCCGCGGGCGCCACTGCAGCGACACCTGCCGTGTGGCTCCAACACTATTGGCTCAGTCTGTGCGCCCACGCCGTGCCGCGAACACTGATCCTACACATTGTTCAGCGTTCCGATTGTAGTTGGACCACATCTGGTGAGTTCTCCCCACGTGGTGGGTGCATTACGCCGAGATGGCCTGGCTGGGCCGTGGTGTCGTATTTTTATGTTCGCCCAGTGGGCTCGCGGCACTGGCAGCCGGCTCTCAGTTAGGAACTGCCAGACCAAAGTACCAGTCGCTGGCTGTTTTATATTTTTTTTCTATCATTGCCTCTAGGGCCCTTGCCGCAGGTTCCTGCACCACCGACAACTGTGGTGTCCCCTACGGCCGCAGGGGCGCGCCGCGGCCCGCGATCGCGTCGTCGGCCATAGCGCGTTTGCGCCGGCGACCGTATACGCAGTTACGCTCGTGCCGCAATTCAGGGAGTTACGTCTTATGCTGCCACCAGACTGCTAGCCTCGTATCTTGTTGTATTCATCGCCCTGTCCACGCGCATGACCTAATGTCTCTGTGCACCCAAGGCCAAGCCACCCTGACGCCATCTTGGCGGGTCCGAGCAGCAATCGTGTGACCTCTACCCAGCGATCGCGTGATCGTGACGTCAGCGGTAGGTGTGGACACCTCCAGCGCTGGTGGCGCCGCGGCGGCAGCGACAGCAACTGCTGGTAGCCACGTGGCCGCCAGCGGCGCAGGCGCGGGCGTGTCATTACGTAACCGTCATCCGCGCCGTGAGGCGGCCCGGGTGATTCACCCGCCGTGTCGTCAGCTGACCGTGACCGTGGCCTAGCGGCCTTTGGCCCGGCGACCGGACCGCAGGTCCGCAGCTGATTGGGGGTCGTCTTGCACCGGGTCTGCAGCGGGCCATCTGGGCTGGAGTCAGGTCACTGCTGGCTGTATGCCACTCTGTGGGAAGCAGCGTTAGTCGGTCACAATTTGGCCAGACGTGTACGCAATCGTGTATGCCTGAGAGGCAGCGTTAGTCGGTCACAGATTGGCCTGACGTGTACGCAACCGTATATGCCTGGGAGGCAGCGTTAGTCGGTCACAGATTGGCCTGACGTGTACGCAACGGTGTATGGGCTGGAGTCAGCTCACTGCTGGCCGTATGCCACTCTGTGGGACGCAGCGTTAGTCGGTCACAATTTGGCCAGACGTGTACGCAATCGTGGATGCCTGAGAGGCAGCGTTAGTCGGTCACAGATTGGCCTGACGTGTACGCAACCGTATATGCCTGAGAGGCAGCGTTAGTCGGTCACAGATTGGCCTGACGTGTACGCAACGGTGTATGCCTGAGCTGCAGCGCTAGTCGGTCACAGATTGGCTGGACGTATACGCAACCGTGTATGCTATATCGGTTTCGTCCGCGTCCCACTCTGGGAGCGTCCAGGGCTTACGTAATTTTGTTTTTCTCATTGCAGGCATGCTCGTCGTAGGGGACAGCTATGCTGTCCACCTCCCCCGCCGCTGTTCGCCCCACCTTGCCGTGGCGGCGGCCGGTGTTCGCGGAGGCTGCGTCAATGACGACGGCTTCAGGCGCTGGGCCATCCGGGCCGCAGTTCGTGCCCGTCCTCGCGTGGTCACGCTCGTGGCGGGCGGAAATGACCTCGCCAGAAGGGACTGCCGCGTTCAGCGGTGGCTCGCCAACCTCCAGGAACTGACGCTCGGGCTCCTGGCAGCCGGAGTCGTTCGCGTCTATGTGCTGCCCATCCCTCCGCGCACAGGCTTTCCATCCAGCGGCGTGTCGGCGCGAATTTTCCGGCGGCGGCGCTGGGTGGCCAACAAACTGTTGCGCCGCCTTTTCCGCCAACCGCCGGTGCTCCTGCTCCACTTTGTGCCGCCACCTGACTTTCTGGCGTCGGATGGGGTTCATCCGTCCGCGGCCGGGTGGCGCACCCTGGAGAGCGTGCTACAGGAGGCTATGGACGCCTCCTCCGGGATTTAGCGTGTACCGGGTCGCTCCCGTGCTGTGTCGTGTGTGTCCCCCCCCCCCCCCTCCTAACCGGCTGGCCGTTTAAATACACATTCCCGCTAACATCGTCGTCTATTTTCATGCGTTCGGAGCTGCTATGCCACGGGCCAAGTCGTCGGCGGGCCGTGCCCCGGCACGCCCCCTGCCAGCGCCACGGACGGACGCGCCGCGACGCGCCACTACGAGACGCTCCGCGGCGGCCGCGGCCGCGTCTGGCGCTGGTGCCACGAGCCGCCGCACGCCCGCTGCTGCGGCGAGGCGACAGGCCGCAGTGATGGCCACCACTCCGCCCAATCCAGGGCGGGGCCATGCTGCTACAACGTCGGCCGCCGCCGCCTCGCCCCCTGACGCCGCGGTCATCGACCCCGCCGCTCTTCAAACAATGGTGGGCGACATGGTCCGGGCCGCCGTCGCCGCCGCTCTACCTGCCAGCGAGCCATCACCGCCGGCGACGGTCGCCGTGCAGCGCGGTCCGGCACAGCGTCTCCAGGATGGGCCAGCTGCCCATCTGACGTCCGCCGACCACGCCTACACGCCGGCTGCCGAACTGCAAGCCGGGCCAATGGCGCTCCCGGCGGTTCTCTCCGGCGCCCTTCCGACCGCCGCCGGCCCTGCTCCACCTGCGCACCTGCCAGCGGCGCAGTTGCCCGTCGCCGGCCGTCCGCCGGCACCGGTGGAAAATGCCGCAGGTGACGACCTAGCGGCCCGCGCTGCCGTATCCCCCGCGGTGGCGGCCCTCATCGTGTCCCATCAATTCATTGACCTAAACACTCTCCTCAACGACTCTATCCCCCCGGCAGAACCAGGGCTGTTTTGCCTTATCGACGGCCGTCTCCGTCCCTCGGTACAGCGCCGCCCAATCCCGCATTTCGGCGCCTGGGCCACCGCGTTTCTTCGATACGCGGCCGTGTACTTGGCTGCCCACCCCGCTGACGCCTCCGGTCTGTTGCGCCACATGCAACAAGTGTCCTCGCTGCAGGCGCCCGGCCTTGGATTCGCGTGGCGCGATTTCGATGAGGCCTTTCGGCGCGCACGGGGCCTCTGCCCGGAAGCTCACCCATGGGGCTCCACGGCGGCCACGTCTCCCATTTGGCTCACCGCAATCGCTCGCGGAATCGCCGGTTCTCGGGCCGGGTCTGCAGCCGGTGTAAGCGGCGAGGGTCGGGGCGGCTCTAGCCGGCCGGCCACCGCGTCTGGCTCTTTTCGCGCGCTCTGCCTCGGCTACAATCGCGCCGCCGGGTGCCGCCGGTCCCCGTGCCTGTTCCGGCACGAGTGCCGCCTCTGCCGTGGCCCCCATAGCGTGCTCGCCTGCCCTCGCCGCGCCGCCCCGGCCCTCCCCGGCACCCGCCGCCCCGGCCGCGAATGACTCCCTCACTCCGCCGGTATCAGTCCCGCCCGACCACCTCGCGCTGCTCCTGACAGGTTACGACCCCGCCCTGGCCGCGCAGCTAGTGCACGGTTTTCGCTACGGCTTCCCGCTCGGCAGCGCCGAGGTCCCCTCTGGTGACTCGGGCGGCAACCTTCCATCCTGCTCTCTGGCGCCGGAAGTCGTGGACGCATATGTCGCGGCTGAGACGCGCGCGGGTCGGATAGCCGGTCCTTTCTGTCCCGCGCCGCCATGGATCGTCCGTTTTTCTCCCATTGGTCTAATCCCCAAAAAGTCTCCGGGCTCGTTTCGGGTCATTCACCACCTGTCATTTCCCACCGGCGCTTCCGTCAACGATTTCATTCCCCGGGAGCGCACATATGTTCAATACGGGTCGGTGGACGAGGCTCTTCGCCTGATTGGGTCCTTCCAACGCCCCTACCTCGCCAAAACCGATATTGAGAGTGCATTCCGCATCGTGCCCGTCCGCCCGGCGGACGCCGCCATGCTCGGTTTCCATTGGCGGGACTGCGCATACGTGGACCTTTGCCTTCCTATGGGCTGTGCCAGCTCTTCCCAAATCTTCCAGTCCGTCAGTGATGCGCTCGTCTGGATCGCGCAGAACAAATTCGGGGCGGGTCCCATTGTTTCTGTTTTGGACGACTTCCTCTTCATCGGCGAGTCGCGCGCAGCGTGTCAGCGCTCGCTCGGCGGCTTTCAGGCCATGTGCCGTGACTTGGCGATCCCGCTGCGTCGCGACAAGACCGTGGCGCCGTGCCGGTCCCTCACCTTCCTCGGGGTGGTATTGGACCTTGAGCGCGGCGAGCTGCGGCTGCCAGCTGACAAGCTGGCACGTGCCAGGGCAGGCCTCACGAGCCTGCTGGCCCGCCGGAAAGCGCCCCTCCGCATGGTCCGTGAATGCACGGGGCTCCTCAGCTTTGCGTGCACCGCAGTGCCACTCGGTCGCCCGTTCCTACGGCGCATGTTCGACTTGTGTCGCGGCGTGTCGCGCCCTCACCACCGCGTCACGATCACCCGGGCGGCCAGACAGGATATGCGCGCCTGGCTGCTGTTTCTAGACCGTTTCCCAGGCCGCGCGATTCTCGCTCACCGGCGCTGGTTGTTGGAGCCGGGTCTTATCCTGGAGACGGACGCCTCCAGCTCGGTCGGGCTCGGTGCCATCTGCGGCGAGGACTGGCTCCTGGGGCCGTGGCCCGCGTCCCTCCGCGAGGCCCCTATCAGCGTTTTGGAACTAGTGGCTGTCGCTGTAGCCGTGCACGTGTGGCGAGATCGGTTCGCGCATCGCTGCGTCCTTGTGCGCTCAGATAACTCCGCTGTGGTGGCCTGTATAACCTCTCAGTCATCTCGCTCGCCTGCCCTAATGCCATGGCTCCGATTCCTTTTTCTCACCACCGTCTCTCATAACATTCTCGTGCGTGCCGTGCACACACCCGGCATCGCCAATGCAGCAGCTGACGCCCTGTCCCGCGGTCTTGTGCAGGTCTTCAAGGAGCTCCGCCCGTCCGCAGCAGCCACGCCGACGTCCTGGGACTGGCCGGCCTGCGGCACGCTCTCACCGTTCACCAGCTAGCTGGTGCCGCGCTAGCTCCTGCCACCATTCGCTCTTATCGAGCAGTGTGGGGCCAAATCCGCGTTTTCCTCACTCTGCCGCCCACTGCTGCCCTGTTTCCCATCTCAGTGGCCGACACTGCTGATTTCCTGGCCTCTCGACACGAGCAGGGCTGTTCCGCTTCCACCCTCGCCGCCGAGGCGTCTGCCATCTCCTACGGCCACAAGCTAGCCGGCGCGCCGGATCCCACGGCGGACTTCCGGGTGCGACAGCTGTTAGCGGGATCCCGCCGGCTACGGCCGAGTGCGGACAACCGCCTCGCCGTCTCCCTGACCGAGCTCGGCGAGCTCTGCGCCGCACTCCATTTCCTAGGCCTCTCCCCGGTAGACCGTGCTGCATTCCGTGCCATCTTTACATTGGCTTTCTTTGCTATGCTTCGCCCGGGCGAGGTCGTGCGCGGCCGAGACCTGACCCACACAGTCCGACTCAGCCACGTGAGTCTCGTCGGCCCCCAGCTTTCTCTCACCATTCCATCCTCAAAAACGTCGGCCTCCCCGTTCACCACCACGCTTCGAGCCCGGCCTGATCTTGCCACGTGTCCGGTCGCCGCTGTCCGCGACTACCTCGCGGTCCGCGGCACGGGCCTTCCTGATGACGCACTGTTTATCGGCGGCCATCGCCGCCCTCTGACATCGCGCGATCTCACTCGCGTACTTCGCATGGCGGGCCGTCGAGCTGGTCTCAACCCAGCCCGCCTCTCCGGGCACTGCCTTCGCATCAGCGGCGCCTCCCACGGCGCCGCAGTCGGACTAACGGAGCCTCAACTCTGCCACGCCGGCCGCTGGTCGTCCCAGGCCGTGCGGCGATACGTACGGCGGCCGGTCTCCCTCCTTCAGGCATCCTAAGCGGCGGGTCCCGTCCAAAGAGGGTTAACGTTGCCGGCCTTCCACCGCTACCGCTCCCAAACCCGAGCCACAGCTGCCCGTTCTAGGTCTGGGTGCACGGGCCGCGCCCTAGCAGGCGTAGCGGCAGTCCCGACGCTGCCTGTTCAGGCCCGGGCTCCCAAACCGCCGCCCTCGCAGGCGGAGCGGCGGCGTCCTTGGCCACCTGCCTGTTTTCGGTCCGGGATCCCGGACCGCCGCCTTCACGGGCGAGCGGCAGTCTTGTCAGCTGCCTGTTTTAGGTCCGGGCCCCCGGACCCCCGCCTCACGGGCGGAGCGGTAGTCTGTCAGCTGCCTGTTTCAGGTCCGGGCTCTGGGACCGCCGCCCTCGCCGGCGGAGCGGCAGTCCCAACTCCCGACGGCTGCGCGCCACAGTGATGTATCTGTATATATGTAACGTCGGGCTCGCGTGTTCATTGTTGGTTTAGCTCGCCCGCACAGCCATAACCCAGATGCAACTGCAGTTTCTACGCCACAGCCGCACCGCCGACGGTGCCATGTTTGTGCGTCGCGTGAGGTGAATTACGCCGTGCGCGGCATGTCATGTCCTCTGCCGTCGCGTTATCGCCACGTCTGTTAATCCAGAGGCATCCATCGTTTTCCATTAGCTTTCTGCCGCCCTGGCAATTTTGTTCATAGCGAATGCCTCTCCGTTCCGCGCGGGTGCAGATGGGGTGTTGGGCGTAATCTGCACCCAAAGTGCATGACGGGTGTACAAACGTACGAATACACAGACCCATATTCATCAGTCATGCATTTGCAAGCGCAGCGGAACGGAGAAATGCATTTGACGAGCGACACCTACGGGGTCGTGCGGCAAAAACTTTCTCTGTCCGCGGGCGCCACTGCAGCGACACCTGCCGTGTGGCTCCAACACTATTGGCTCAGTCTGTGCGCCCACGCCGTGCCGCGAACACTGATCCTACACATTGTTCAGCGTTCTTGTCTTTCCGATTGTCCACCGCCACCCCGCCGCCGCCTGTGGTACTGTGTTTCCATGCATTGCTGGCTGTGTAAGCGTAATCTGCACCCAAAGTGCATGACGGGTGTACAAACGTACGAATACACAGACCCATATTCATCGTGGTCAATTTGCTTACACCAGTTATTACCACACCCCTCTGGCTAATGTATTTGAATAGACCAGGCATACAGTAAAACGTTGGACTTAACCCTATTCCTGGCGGGCTCCGCCGGGACAAGAAACTGGCGGGGGGGGCCGATTCGGCCCCCCCCTGAGATCTCGAGAACAAAGCAAGATAGCGACAAGCGGTAAACGGCATCGGATACGCATGGACAAGGTCTACAATTTTTACTAAGGTCATTTTCAGGTCAGGTCAAAGATGACGTCACAGGGGTCGAAAAAGTCAAAATGGCGGCGCTAGATATGGAGAGAGTTTTTCTCGAATAACTTTCGAATTAGTCAAGATAGGAACAAACTAAGGGCATCATCGTGATCCTCTCGTCAATCCGCATCGAATGATATATATGTTGACCTCGAAAGGTCAAGGTCAAAGGTTGACCTCAGGTCACGTGACCTCGAGGTCATCATGTATATCATTCGATGCGTCTTGACGAGCTGAACACAATGAGACCATCCACGCGTCTGTATCTTGTTCCTGTACGGAGTTATTGGCCAAAAACCTTTGGTGACCTTTGATGACGTCACATGACCTCACAGCTGCCCAACAGCAAAACAGACCTCAAGGTAGTGAAGGTTGATCGTATATGAAGTCATGTATGGTATATGGGGCCATTCCGACCCGTTTTAGTGGTAAAAACAGGGACTTGATTTTTCCCCCATTGACTTATAATGGGGAGGTCGCGAAACTGACCTGACCTTAGGTCACCGATATCAAAATTCCGAGATATACAAATTGCACATACTGGTACCCTAACTAAAGCCTGAAGAGAAGAAATTGATCGGTCAAAAACTCTAGCTCTGGCGTGATTGCAAACTTTTCTGAGGTAGGGTCACCAAACCGCCTCTGGTGACCTGACCTGAGGTCAGATCAACTCAAAATTTTCAGACATGTTGCGTAGAAGCCTTTTAGGAAAAGTCAGAAAATTTGAGCTTCCTAGCTCAACGCGTTTGGGAGAAATAACCAAAAACCTCAGGGGGGGGGCTCCTGAGGCCCCCCCCCCGCCAGGAATAGGGTTAAGCCTCAACAATTCAGCGTGGATTTATGTAACCGTTTCCACCCCTGCCTGATATCAAGAAGTGGCAGATCGCCGTGCGGGCCCGCATTGCCTACAGCCGTGCCCGGACGGACCGTGCCGCTGACAATGGCTCTTCCTGTCTGATACAGAGCCAAGCCATAGAGCCGGTGATGCCTCTCGTCCCTCCGATCCTCCTCCCCTCTCTCCCCACTCTCTTCCTCTCTCCGCGGCCGCGTATCTGCTGCACGCTACAGTGCAGGCGAGGTTGTCGGCATCAGTGACACGATGATCCAGTCGGAGATAATCAGTGTTTGCATGTGGCGTGCCAATCACCGCGGTCCTCTCATTTCCATCTATATTGGGTTATCCCCTGTAGATAAATATGGCGATGAGCACGCGCTACCTTTTTGGCCCGGACAACGGTGTACTTACAACGTTAGGAAGACTCCAATAATAAGGGATTTGATTATCTGAATTCTAACAGGACCTGCCACTGGTTGTAATTCCGTTGATAGAATAATTTTAATTCAATCCATTTATCTATAGCGGTACGAATTGATCAGTAGGGGAGAGTGGGGTGGGTTGTATCAGTTTTTACTCCGAGACCCATAACCTCGTAACTATCCGTGATAAACTCATTATTTCCATACTATCTCCTTCCTTGATTCTTCTGCTTTTTTTGTGCAAAGTAACTTTTCCGCTACCTCTACCAGTTTTTCTTCTACGGTCTGCCGAATAGAACAATGTTTTTGATACAACTTGCCCCATGGCTTGGGTGAGTTGTATCACATGGTGGGGTAATTTGTATCACTAGGTATTTCACGTTTCAGGGAGTGTGCTTGCTACTGGTTTTGAACATAACAACAATATTAAATGGGGTTAATGCAATGTATATGCTCAAAGGCTTCACTTTTATTAGACCAAACTTAGGTCAATGCAATCCGAACGAAACATCGAAACGAACGAAACATCAACAGACTAGATGCAAAAGTGGCCCGTTAAGAGCAAAGAAGCCAACACATTGTGCCGAAATGGAACGAGTATTGACTAGCTACCTACAAACGCGAGACAGGGCTTAGCTTTCGCGATCAAAAACAACATACCCATACATACATACATGTTACAACATACCCCACCCGGCTCTGATACAACATGTACCTCGCCGCCATCTTGGAAAAAACATCCTCGTGCTCAAAAACAGCGGACAGCTGGAGAAATCCATTTTCAATAACGCAGCCTTAGAAACTACCCTCACCACCGCTACGGAGATCTTTCAAATTCGTGCACATCTAAATGCCCAAACCACACATTTTCTTGCAACTCATTTTTTTAGAATGACATTAAAAAAACATAAAATCGGCTCTCACCTCGAGACGCGTCCACCCAGCCACACGACAGAACAGGGAAAGATGGCGCCCGGAAAACCTCGTCGGCTGGTCGTGTCACGAGCGCTATCTATTGGATAAGTTTGGCAGAATTCGCCCTGATACAACTTGGACATGATACAACTCTCCCCGCTCTCCCCTACGTTCACAAACAACTGTGATTGAATCAGTTAACAATAACATTAATTATTTCAATGTTGGATCCACATTTAGCTAAAATAACTAAATAAAAACTGGACGAAAATGACACCCAATAAGAAAAGCAGGATATTATATTGTTAATTATCATGCCGTGTTGAATGAAAACTATTTTTGAAAAATGTGACGCGTTGATAATTATTTAATGTCTGAAGGAAAATGATAAAGAATGTGTCTTTGTCAGCTTCCTCGAGCGCCGCTGTAAGGCATTCATTTCGTTGCGAAAAGATCAGGTCTAGTCCTTCCGTGAAGAAACCTATTTGCCTCCTAACAGATTATGTAACGCTACTGAATTGTAGAAAGAGCATCACGTTCTTTGCTAGATATAAATGAGGGTATATTAGATACAAACAGGTGTATGAAAATAACGAACGCTGTCGAATGCTGAAGGTTGCCTGCAAAACATTGTCTCGAGCCGGCCTGACCTTTGGAATTTAGCCTGTGTCACCAGACGATTTTGAAAAGAAAAAATGTAGGTTTAATTCCGATACCACTTGCATAGTTTCTTTCAACTTAATACATAAGTTGTTTCAGGCCATTTATGAGTCATCCAGCAACATCAAATTTTATTATCGGATAATGGTCATGCTCGCTATCAAGTTTACAAATATGACAATTAATCAAACGACGAATACATATTCAAGTGTATTTTATATAATGTTTTATATACTATACCTATATTACATAAATGTATTACAAACATCGCAAGGAATACAATATCTGTGCCTCTAGTCCATTTATTGATCATTCAATATTACTGTGGCGGGCGCTGCACTCGGCTGATCACTGTTCTATATTTGACGCTGCTGTGTTAGAGAATGCGGCTGGGGTGGCGACTCTCGTTCAATTGATGCACTGCAGGGAGACACCGGTTGGTCACGTGACTCGGAAACAAAAATCAGCTGATAGAGTGGCGGAATCGCCGTAATCGAACACGAATAATTCCGGACGATAGAGCGGCAGTGTAGGAGTTTTCTTCACAACAGGCAAACATTGCAATGTTTTATCATTCTATGATCAAGAAACGTTCATAAATCATATATTTCTTCGATAATTACTGCCGCAACCGACGCGCACATATCGTAGCCAGCGTAGCCACATAGCGTAGCCAGCGCATAAAGCTGTGCTTTGCGATATTATATGTAAAGAAACGGCCAATGCTTATTATGTGTAACAAAGCTCGAAGAAGATAGAATTCTATCCTGCTTCAACCTTCTACTTACGCTTTCATAATTACGATAGCGACACCATACGGCCTATCGACGCTATGCAACTCTATGGAGTGTCCGGCCGCACTCTGCCGAGTGTGCCGAGATCAGAGGCGGACCATCCGCGGCACGTCCAGCTGCACTGCCCGGTCGCTGGGAGGGCGACACCTAGCGCCGCCCTGGCCGCTCGCTTCCGCGCACAACTAAGCTACCTGGCTACGCCTGTGGGAGCCGGGAGGGGAGGGAGAAAACCAATAACAGTCTGATGAGCCAATGGAGTCTGTGAGCCACGCCAATCAGCGCCCTTCCGCGCGCAGACGAGCTAGAGCTATTCATCTTCTTTCCTGTTTTCACTGGTCCGCCAGTCACCAGCAACGTCCGTGCAGTCGATCGTAGCCATTTCGCGCCAGTCGGCCGCCAGGATATCAACAATATCTATTCTTGTATAGCATTGCAAGCATTTTAGTATTTGTAGCCGGGTGTTATCAGTAGTTGACGCATTTCTGTGTTTTGTGTAACAATTGGAAAATACAGCGAAATACATACTTAAATTCACATAGTTTTTATTCTTGGCACGGATTGCTTACCCTTGCTTCAGCAAACATCCAATCTCCATATTTCTGTTCCGAAGCTGCAGTGGACACCAAAAATACATTACGTTATGATAACATAATCCAAAGATACACAGATTTCACGCTGAACTGCTAGGTTCCAGAGAAGGCATGTTCTCGCTCACGGATGCTCAGCAAAAACGCGCGATTGATTGCAGCTAGCACCCTCACGATACAAATATCACGCTCGCCAAAACCTGCCGGTTACAGCCACTCACACCTTACTTCCAACCTCTGTTACATTACATTTATCATTTATTAGCATATCGAGACAGAATGAGACCACGGCATGATCGTCAAATTACATAACAGAAATTGCAGGACATTGGCGAGTCCGTAAAAATACCCCAATCTCAGCCAACACCGTTGAGACGGAGGGGGAGGGGGGTCGAATCCGGGACACGTATCGGCGTATCCGTCACAGATCCGGGTGTCTCACGCTCATGGACGCTCAATCAACCCTGGCACACCATCCACCGATCACGTCGGCTCTGTCTATCTTAATTTCGTACTGAGATCTT